GTCAGGTATGGTACGTTTGTTCAGTTCAGCGTCTCGGAGGCGAAGTGCTGGAGTGGCGAACGAGGTGAAGTTTTGAGTTCGGATAGGGGAGTGTCCCGAACTGCCATGAAGCGAGCCAATTCGGGTCACTGCCTTGTGTGGCTCAGGGCCCGAGAGTTCAGGCTCCTCGTAGGGAGGTCGGGCTTCTCGTAGGGAGTTCGAGCTCTTAGTAGGGAGGTCGGGCTCCTTGTAGGAAGGTCGGGCACCTCGTAGGGAGTTCGGGCTCCTCGAAGGGAGTTCGAACTGCTGGTTTCTTCCCTTTGGTGCTTGCGCCCTGGGTACGCTGTTTTAAGTGCCAAGCTATTTGCTTTTGCCACGTGGAGTGATTGCGAGGTCGGGCCAAATCTTCCTTCATCAATTGCCCCCCACTCCGCGCGCTAAGGGTCTTGCCCTGGCGCGGGGAGTTCGCAAAGGTGTCAGGTTGATTTGCCCTGTACTTCGAATCTTGGTTCTGATGGTGCGAGGTGCGTTGTCAGGGTTCTTTGGGTTTCTTCGAGCGCTCAAAAGGCGGGAAACATGTCGACCTGCCTGAACGCTGATAGATGCGACGACACGCGCTTTATTTTGAAATTTCAAAAAACACACCACTTGGGAGACGCGACAGCAAGCGTCTTTTCAAATTTGAAAACGTGCCGCTGCCGCTTTTATTGAGAGGAGACATGCGCTGGCATTCTGTTAGTTTCGAAAAGACTTGCGCCGGCGCTCTGTCAATTTCAGGAAGACGTGCGCCGGCGCTCTGTCAATTTCAGAAAGACGTGCGCCAATCACGTCCCAATCTCAGGGGATGTGCGGTTAGTGCGACTGTGGGCCGTCGGATTGGCTTTGATCTAAGCCATCGCTTTTCGATCACTGTGAGTATAAATAGCGGGGGGGGGGGACCCCGGTCGCTGTCACTTCTGTATTTCTCTCGAGCTCGCATCCTGGTTTTTTTAGTTCGCGTTCAAGGTCTTTTGCTCGTTCGAGCTCCCGTGGTCTACATCCTTTTTCCGGGTGAGTACTTTCCTGGAATCCATCTTACTCCCCGATGTCTAGCTTGGATAGCTCAGATAGTCCTTCCAATGGGTCTGATGCAGGTTCTACGAACTGAGTTGCATCCCCTGATAGCTCTAGCGAGCCGGAGGTAGAGCTCGAGGAAGAGTTTGAACTCGTAGGCCAAGGTGCTTCGGGTAGTTTGGCGTCCACCTCTCGTCGGGGTCGGATGTTAGACAAGTTTGTCCCTTCGACCATGACGCCTGAGGGGCTCCAATCCCTTATTACCTACTATAACTTGCCCGGGGAGTACGCTTATTTCATACCTTCGGGTAGCTTTCCTTGGGAACACGGTCCTGATGAGATCGTGATATTCCGGAAGCAGCTCACCGCGGAGCTGCGATTGCCTTTCCATCCCCTCCTTGTCGAGGTCTTGAACCACTTCGGCGTGAAGGTCGGCCAGCTTCACCCGAACTCCATTCGAAATTTGGTGGGGACAATCTCCTTATTTTGCGAAGTGAGCTTTCCTTTGGACTTGGAGATCTTCTCTTCAATCTTAATGCTTAAGAAGCAAGCGGGTCCCCTCCCCGGGCGTAGGCGGGCATATTACTTGTCTCCTCGCCCGGGCTTTAAGCTTTTACATGAACTCCCCGACA